GGGTGTGTGTGTGTGTGTGTGTGTGTGTGTGATATATATATATATATGATTTAACCAGGTAGATCTCCCTTAAATTTAGATTTTTATGAGAGACTTTAAAGTGTCCCTTAAAAAAGAGATTTTAAGGTCTAAATGTTTTTAGCTATACATATTTATTCCACTCAATTAATGTGTGATTTATTTRTTTTCTATTATAAGTTTTATATCGTGATATATATCGTCACCGCCACTCATCATAATGTATATTGTGATATGAATTTTTTGCCATATCGCACATTCCTAATTTGAACATGTTGCAGGGCTGAGCCTTTCCGGAGCGATCAAACAGTTTTTAATAATTCATGCAGGTAGTAACCGATAGCTGGATGATCTCAGCTGATGTGTGAGATCATCTGTCCTGTCGCAGCTCGCTGCAGGTGTCCCATGCATAATTCAACAACCGTTTAACCTGGTTTGGCCACAACAGATGTACCTGTTTGTTTTATTGTGATGGATCTGATAAATGGTTGTGACTTGGTGTGGTTTGAGGGTTTTGAGTGAGTGTGCTGTCGTGTTTATAGAGTGAGATAATGTGATACCTCCCCTGATGTGACACCCCTAAAGTATGAATTTCGACACTAATAGTTGGGTAAAGGGAGCAGGATGAAACAAAGCGAGGTATTCGCTCACTCTGTGAGCTAGACTCAACCAGGAGGGTGTTTGTTTAGTTTCAGTTGCCAAGAAACAATACTGACTGTGTTTATTCATGTTTGTACAAATCACACATCCATCCACTCATCTATCATGAAGCTGAGTGTGCAGCACGGTGGATTAGTGATCAGTACCTTTGTCTCACAACTAGAAGGTTCTGTGTTCAAACACAAGGTTGGACCTGGGATGTATGGAGTTTACATGTTCTTGTGTTTGTACTCTAGTTTGTGTCGATACAGTATTCAATTCAGTTTTTCAATTCAAAAAATATATTCATTTCTTTAAAAAATAAAGAAAATACACACATCAAAAATCAAAATAAAATGAAAGGTAGCAGAAGAAGAATAAATATTATAATGTCTGTCCCTTTTATCCCCAGAATATATTCAAACAAAACATAATTTACGAAACAATGCTAAATAAAAATAAAAACATCAACTCAAACAACAATTCATTTAGCTTCACATTTTACTTTTCCATATACCTTCAGAAAACTAGCTTTTATCTGTCTCTTAAATATAGTATGTTATATATGTGTTAATATTGAAAGTCATGAAAGATGGTTGACTCCCCTTTCAAATGTCTTTTAAAAGAAAAACAAAATAAATAAATAAAAATACTGAGTTACAGATCAGGCATTGTACTGAGAAACACAGGTACTGGGAAACGGGGTCATCCCTATGTTGCCTAGTGCCTTTGTTCCCTGGCTGTCTTACGTCTTGTGAAGTATAAACCAGGCTTTAATTTACAACAGCATACCCAAGGGATAGCTCAAGAAACCCAATTTAACACTATCTATAAGATTATAAGATTTATCCAAAAGAAAAGTCTTAAGTCAAGCCTTAGACTGAGTCTCAGCCACACAAACAGAAACTGGAAGTTGCTTTGAGAAAAGAAAAGCCTGATAATTTAAGCTCTGCTTCATACTAAGAAACTCTGGGAACCACAAGTAAACCTGCAGTCTGAGAGTGAAGTTAGGAAAATGTGAAACAATAAGATCTGTAATATAAAGGATCATGTCAGCTAGGTTTTTGAGAGTTTTGTATGTGCGATTTGAATTTCTAGTCTTAATTTGACAGGAAGTCAACGGAGCTGTGAAGCTAAAACTGGAGAAATCTGACCTCTTCAGCATTGTGGCTCAGCTGAAGACTTCAGAGATTTTTTTAGACATTTAGATGATAAATAATTATTACAAAGTCAAGACTAGAGTCCTAAAGACTTTAACTCACAACCTCTGCACTCAGGGGACATTGAGGAAAGGCGTAACTCCTCATCCTCTTTCATGTGAAATATTCATGTCTGTCATCTGTAATTGCAGAGAAGGAACGCCGTGTGAAAGCTAATGCCAGGGAATACAATGACAAGTTCTCATATGCCGTAAGTAAAACCTCAAGCACAGCAGGATTTTCAGTGAGCGGTGTGTCTGAACGTGCTCCTCTTCAGGACAATCGCATCAAAACATCAAAGTACAACGTCTTCACCTTCCTGCCTGTCAACCTGTTTGAGCAGTTCCAGAGGGTGGCCAATGCTTACTTTGTCATTCTGTTGATACTGCAGGTAGGAGAAGCAGCTGCAACCTTTTAAGATTTATTCATCTCTGCTTCTTGGAGTTTAGGTCAAATTATTATAGATGATTTTTTTTTCATTTGAATTTGACAGTTAATTCCAGAAATCTCCTCCCTGTCCTGGTTCACAACCATCGTGCCTTTAGTTCTGGTGCTGACAGTCACAGCTGTGAAGGATGCCGCAGACGATTACGTTAGTTCTGAATATTTATTTCTCATCTAATAAATCATGTAGAAAGATTGAGCTACGTTTTTTTTTACTCACTTTTTATTTTAGTTTCGTCACAGGAGCGATCAGCGAGTCAATAACCGCCAGTCTCAGGTTCTCATCAGGGGAAGGTATTTATTTATTTATTTATTTATTTATTAATTCTATGAAGCTTTTCGGGATATTCAAATCAACATTCATCCTCTCTTGTTTCCAAGTTTACAGAAAGAGAAATGGATGAACGTTCGAGTGGGCGACATCATCAAACTGGAGAACAATCAGTTTGTTGCTGTGAGTAATTTCTAACACCACGTGTTGCAACTGTTAAGGATATTTATTTAGGATTTTCTGGTGTTCCCATTTCTTATTTGTGTACTGTCCTTATTATAACGTGTTTATAACTTTACATTCAGATGTAAAAACAGTGAATGAGGATTTAAGCTGTTCCAGGGTCAGTGGTGTTTCTTTGTGGATTCACACACAGGCAGACATCCTCCTCCTGTGCAGCAGTGAACCTTATGGTCTGTGCTACATCGAGACTGCAGAGCTGGATGGGTGAGTGCTGCGCTCCTTATGTGACATGACATTTGTACGAGTATGAGGCGCCAAGTGTAAAATAAAATGTTGAAAAAAATGTCATTATTTAGCTCACTTTCTGAGTGTAAAATCCTAGCCAAAGATTTTCCACGAGCATTTTAATATTTAGCTTTTCTTCTTACATTGTACTAATTTTTGCTAAATTTGAAATAATGTGTATTAAATCCTAAATTTAAAAGTTAAATCTTAAAGGTTGTGGTTAAATGCCTTAGCAAAGTTAGCAGTGTCCGTGGCAAAAGCACCTGCTAATGCTGCTAACGTAGCTAACTCTGCTGAAGATGGCATTTAAAATCTAAATTCAAAACTAGTTCATTGAAAACAATATGGATGGTACCTGTGGCCCGGCAGTTTGAAGTGCAGCTCAGACACAGGCCGCAACTTCAAGTTTGATATCTTGTGGGGAAGTGTTAGCAGTGTTAGCAGCGTTAGCAGTGTTAGCAGTGTTAGCAGTGTTAGCAGTGTTAGCAGTGTTAGCAGTTGCTTTTGTTGCAGAATAATGACGTCATAAGAAGAGCCACGCACCAATGGAAAAGGTTGAGTTCCATTCCAAAGTGCTACATTTAACTTCAACATTTAAGGTTTAACTTTTACATTTAAATTTACACATTAAGATTTAGGATTTAATAAGTACATATGTTAATAAACAATTAAATATAAAATTTTGTAAAAATGAGCAAATGTAATAACTATGAGTTATACGTATAAGAATAACATGTAAGTGTWAAACATGTAACTAGAATTTCAAATAATGAAAATGTGTTAGTGACATTTTTAAACGTTTTATTTTACATTTGGCACCTAACATCTCCTTGGTCATTTTATTTAATTTTTTTATATTTATCTTCAAACAGCGAGACAAATCTGAAAGTCCGACAGGCTCTCAGTGTCACCTCAGATTTGGGAGACGTTTCCAAACTGATGGATTTCGATGGTGAGACACTGCAGAGTATTAATTTGAGACCATTTCCAGAAATGCCCTTGAGTGTCTCTTTGCCGTCCTTACAGTAAATTGCCTGATGCTGTTTCAATCCCTCTTCAGGAGAAGTAATTTGCGAACCACCAAACAACAAATTGGATAAGTTCACAGGAACGTTACACTGGAAGGAAAATAAATTCTCTCTGGATAATGAAAAAATGCTTCTGCGGGGTTGTGTCCTCAGAAACACTGAGTGGTGCTTTGGGATGGTCATCTTTGCTGGTATTATTATATTTTAACACTTTTCTTTGTAGTTTTGCATTTCTTGATTCACCTTTTAATGGAGTTTAAATACAGTTGGTTGATTTTTACCTCCATCCAACAGGATTACAAACTAAACTGATGCAGAACTGTGGAAAGACTAAATTCAAAAGGACCAGCATTGATAAACTAATGAATACTCTGGTTTTATGGGTAAGATGCTGCCCCTGTATTTGAACAATAATCATATGAACCTGTTTTCAAGAGATTTTTAGGCACTTTTATAATGTTTTAGGTAAATATATATATACTGTATATATA